AAAATTAATTAGCTTCCAAAGCCTTTTTAGGTAAAATTAAGAAGATGGAAATCTTTTCTAAATTTTTATTTTATCTTAGATGAGAACTGAAAATTAATATATGAATATTTTCGTTACAAAATGTATTATACCTTTTCGAAAACAATAAACAAGAATAAAACATTTGATAATATAATAAATATTTATTTTTATTCATAAAATATGATGAATCGATCCTCTTGAACAGTTGTATTGTACGTATTCTTCATTATTCACATAGTACTCTCAAATTAATGCAAAAGTTATTGGGCATATTAGTAACAAATTCAATAGCAAGGGAAACTCATAAATCCACATGACATATTTTTGCCAATTACATAATATAGTACCGTCTTTTTTCTACATATAATAATATAATTATAGCAGGGAGATGGTACGGTCCCGTCACGGAACAATTCCGTTGAGTTTGTAACCGTTAGACCAACTATCTCAGACGGTTACAAACCTCGACTGAATGGTTTCGTAACGGGACCGCAGCATTTTTCATATTAATTTTTTCTATTGATCTTGGAGTAATTAATTGCTCGTGGTGGTAGACATTCCATTTGCATGACAATGAAATCAGCCTCTCATAAGTCATAGGTTTAGATTAGAAAAAACAACAAAAATGAAATCTTTGGGAGCCAAAAATGTGGAAAATGAACTGTGAGGTCAGCGCTTACACAAACAACCTTTTACGTCAAACCCAATCCTTCATTTTCTCTTATTATTTATTTTATTTTATTTTAAAATTTATTTTTTTTGTGATGATTAAAATTAGGAAAATGACAATTGAAAGCTAATAAAGCTACAGCCAATCAATCTGTTTCCTGATCCAACGGCTGAGTCACAATAATATAGCTGACCCCAAAATTTTTTCTTTACTCCATAATGAGCATTGAATAGAAAATATCCAATAAAATTCAGTTGTTACATTTGATATAGCCTCAACTCGACAAATTGTTTTGATATGCTACCAACTAGGCTCGGGGTTGGTATTGGTAGGCTTGGATTTAGTATGGCTCGAGTCAAGTAGGCGAATGAGTTTAATAGATCAGAGATATATGTTGTAGTGAAGCACGAGATAGTGGATGAGGTTCCTCAGTGACAGTTACTACACTCGCGCTGTGTGGGTAGACATCCATTGGTATCTAAATCTGATTATATTAGAGGCCACATTTAAGGAGTGAGGACGGAGTGTCATTTATGCGCACAGTAGCAAGTTTGTAATGAAATATCGTGAATGCATACAGTGAACAGATAGGTAGCTCAAGTGGGGTCTAAACCGAAGGTGGAGGAAAAAAAGACTTCCAGAAGCAAAGAGCATCCAATTTTCCGTTTCCCAATACATTTTGGATGTTAATCTCTCTACGGATTTTCGCGAGCTAAATCACATTTATAATGGCTCAACCGACGTAACTCGCCATTTATAAAGTTATGAAGATATGGATGTACCGTACAGTTATAATGATCATGTTTGATACGGAGCTTTCCTAGCCACATTTACAGGCTCTATATACGACTTCGAGGCATTCAATGCCAACTTCATTAACCAGTTCTCTTGAGCGCGAGCTCATGAAAATGGGGGGGAATGGCGAGATTAAAGTCATTTTTATGCATAAATTCATTGGCAAAATGACCTAGAAGTACCATCGAGGAAATATTAGAGAGATACGCTGAGTACATTAACATGGAAGAGTCTAGTACAAACTTTTTGCAGCCTCAAAAGGTTGTACGAGTGAAGGAACGAAGGGAGGATAAAAGAAAATAAAGTGCAATCCTTATCGTAAGGACTGGTGAGACGATAAATGACTTTACATGTATAAGAGAGCTCATAGATATGAGGGAGACCTTTGAAGGAGGGGTTGAGGTTTGATAAGTACACCTCCTTGGCCACTAACTCGACGCAAGTGTTAGAGATGATAGAGAAAAATACAATGGCGATATGGTGACATGGCCCTAACTAGAAAAGAAGAACCGATGATTCCAAAAGGCACTATTTATTGTCGGTTCCACAAAGACTATGGACATATGACGAATGATGGCAGTCATCTAAAGGACGCGATCGATTGCCTTATACAAGATGGACAACATAAGGTATTTATATAAAGAGACATAGAAAGAGGTCTGAAAGCTAAGAAAGATAGAAAAAAGAGAATTATTGAAATTATATTTATTTATCATATTTGTGTTTCTTGAAATAGATAACATAGAATTATTGTTTGTAGATAACATAGAATTATTGTTTGAAGAAAAAAGGAAGATCTTCTCATCTTAACTTTTCATATCTTAGTTATTTTCTTTTTATGCATTTGGAATTCATTATCTCCCTTTAGCTTGTATAAAAAAGAAAGACATTAAATTTATTAGAAGATTTCATATATATTCTCTTTTCTTACTAAACTTGACAATCCTTTTTAAATTTTTTAAAAAAATCACTCCTTTAAAAATTAATTAATCAATTTATGTATAAAGTTGTCAAACTTAATAAAACCGATTTTAGTATAAAGTGTGCGATTTTATTTGAGATATCTGATTCTTATTTTTACTTTTAATAGAAAATATATTGTTATTAATAAATGTCCGAATTGAATGTGGAAAGTGGACGATTTTATTTTATTATGAAATGTCCAAATTTAAATGGTATGGTTTTATTGATATGGTAAGGGTTTTTATTATGGAATGTTCGAATTTAAGTGGTATGAATTTTATTTGATATGGATAGAAATGTATTTGAAATTTTTTAAACAAAATAAGGGTATTAATTTTATTTGGTATGAGTATGAAAATTGAAATTTTTTAGGTTGATTTGTTATAAAATATAGGTGATATGATTCTCAAAATTTAGAATATTCACATAATAACTTGTCATAAGATATTGATGATAATTCGCTAAATTGATATGTATTCCTCTTGAAAATCATAAAGATCTTTGAAAAAATATTGGTTAATAAAATTTATAATTTATAATTGAATACTATTAATTAGTTGATAGTTTTGAACAATAAGGTTACAGACAACAAATATAAAAAATTGCGAGATAATATATATGAGATATTATACCTAAAGGAATAAATTGGTTCACTTGGCCGATCGAACGAGTCAAGCGAACTGAAGGGGCCGTCTTGGTCGAACAAAGTGGTCATGATCGAGCACCACAAGAATAACGTACAGAGGATTCCGGTATGAGGAGAACAAGTCAGTCTCAGGTCTATGGAGTATCTGATCGAAGATCGATCTATCGAGTCAAGGGTCATTTGATCGACCACTTCACAGACTGAGAACAGTTCGGGGGACTGACTTAGGCATGTTCGAGAACAAGAGCCTTCGGGAAGAATACATAGGAATCTTTACCCCATGTGCGGAGGACACGTGGCGCGGCTGGATTGGTCTATGATGATAACCGTCTCTGACACACGAACACTATGTGTGTACGAACGAGCAGGCCGAACAGCTTTGGGCAGCCAACTTAGCTCAGTCGGGGCAACCTCTAGAAACATGTACTTCACCCCTGTATATAGGGGCGAGCTTTATGATTTGAGTACGATTTATCCATCTTTACTCTTGAGAATTAAGTAGAAATTATACTGACTTCAGCATCGGTTCACTGAAAGCCCTCCTGGTGTGAGAGTTCTTTGCAGGTATGTGGCGTTCTACCGATGAAGACGAAGGAGTTATATGTGCATATAAGAGAATTTATTGTGTAGTCTAAATTTTAATTCTATATTTAAAAGTCAAATAGGTAATTATTCATAATTTACGGGTCAATATTTACTTGAACGTAGATGGAATAATCAAATATTTATAGAATAATAAATAGTTCAACTACTTACTTTTTTTTTTTAATTCGGATAGTTTATGCAACAATAATTTTGAAACAATATAAGTTTTTTAATTATACTTATTATTCACATATATTTTTAAATATAGGATAAAATTTTACCATAGTAATTATTTTATAGACTCACATTATAATCAAATCGAATTTATGAATAAAATTTTTAAAATGACACTTATTTTAAATGAACATAATCTAATTCATTATTAATTATGCGCACCATACACATTGTGTACTAATTGTACATCGGCATTTTTTATATAATTCTACACTATTTTAATTCTATATAATATTTTTCATAAAATATTTTAGATAAATTGTATTACTATTGATTTCATACTTTTACTTTATAAATATTATTATTTAGTGAATATTTTTAACCTATATTTATTAATTAATATGTCATACGAAATTCTACTAGTTGAGAACAATGATGTTAAAATTCGTACTAGTTGAAAATAATGATGTTGAGTTAAATTTAAATTTTGATTTAACGCTGTTCAAAATTCTATTGTATTTTGGGTGCCGCCTCGCAGCCTACCACGCGCTTTCACTCGCTGGTGACGTGGCAGCACATCACCGCCTTCGGATCAGCGGCATCCAGCGCGTGAGATTAAAGGCTGCGCGCACCTCCCGACAATCTTAATCGACACAACTTTTAGAGAGAGAAACAAAAGATTTGTGTTTTTTTTTTTCTAGAGAGAGAAAGCGGGTGAGAGTTCGGATCCAAGACCAGAAACGCGCGCCCCCTTTCGCCTTCCTCCACACCATCAAACCCTAATAGATTTTATCAATCTTTTTTTTTTCTGCAATTTTTTTTCTCTTCCAATCGATCGATATGAACCCTAATCCCTCTTCTGATCCCTAGTTTTTTCTTTTGTTTCTGTGCCTTTTTCCCTCTGTTTTTAATAATTCAGATCTGCGTATATATATGTGTAAAGGTACAGTCTTTCCGATTTGATTGAGCCGTTGCTTTTTTATCTTCTCTCTGTTGCTAGTAATTACCGGTGTCCTCTCGCTTTGGGAGATTATCCTCTAATTTCACATCCGAAACCCTAAATTTCTCGAGAACCGGGTTATGTTAGGGTTCCTGCCTGCGGAAATTAGGGTTTTTTCTTCCGCCGGTTCGTGAATTACATGTTGTATGGCTTCAGAGTCTTTAGGGGATCCTTGTGATGATTTAATTGCGAAGGCGAGGGATCGATGGTCGGAAAAAAGCATAGTTTACACGCGGAGAATCCGCAAGAAATCCCCCAAAACCTCAAGTAATAGCAATAATACCCCCACCACTACTGCCCCAACCTCCGTCCCGGAGGACCCAGCCTCTGCCGTCCTCACAGCCTCCACTAATTTCGTCCCCGCCCCAACAGAGGCCTCGGCAGGCGTCACCTCTGCTGATGCTATCCCCAGTCCTCCACCCACTGCTGCCCTCAGTCCAGCCCAAGATTCCGGGCAAGCTGTAACGACAAATGAGAAAGACAACGGGTCCTCTCTCCAGTATCAGCATGTGCAAGAACAGCCACAGCGTGGAACTTTAGATGCCAATGAAGATTCTCGGATTGGAACCCCTGAGGTGGCAAATGCTGGTGGCTCGGTATTGCCTGAAGCCGACAAGGCTGGAAATTTTAAAACGCCATTGCCGGATGGAAATGAGGACGTTTTGGGGTCGCCTCGAATTCCTCCAGTTAGGGTCAATGGAGTAGTGATGCCTCTCGTGATATCTAGCATTGATGATAGGATTAGGTTTAATTTAGGCAAGGGGACTGCAAAGGAAGATATTAGGGATTTCAGAACAACACTACTCTCCGAGCTCAATCGGGTTTCCAGGCTGGTTAAGGAGCTGGAGGCCAAGGAGCTTCTGATTTCACAGCACAATACTCAGATTGGCAACAATAGTAATTACGTCAGTAATGGGGCTGGTGAAAGTGGATACAGTCATCCCCAGCCCCCACAAGCCCGGAATGAAGTGGCCGACCGGAGGCTACTGGTGAGAGTGAATACGGAAGTGGGCCCACTGGCCCACGCGGAGCGGAGGCCCGCCGCTGGGCTATACAGAGTGAACTCTGATATTGCTTCGGCTCGGAATATGGAGTCGAGGCCATACAGCAGGCAGCTGAGTGTGGCCGTTATGGATAACAGTAACAGGGGTGAATTTGTGGAAAAGGAAAAACGTACGCCTAAAGCAAACCAGTTCTACAGAAATTCCGAGTTTCTCCTAGGGAAGGACCGGCTGCCTCCTGAGAGCAACAAGAGGCTTAAGACGAGCAATGGGAGGAAAAACGCTGGGGACAATGAACATAGCTTTGGTTTTGGTTTCGGAAAGAGCCGGAATCAGATATTCAAGAACTGCAGCAGCCTACTCCAGCGGCTGATGAAGCACAAGCATGGGTGGGTATTTAATGAGCCAGTGGACGTCAAGGGATTGGGACTGGTCGATTACTATGACATCATCAAGCACCCCATGGATCTGGGCACGATTAAGTCTAGGTTGTCCCAGAATTGGTACAGATCACCACGAGATTTCGCGGAGGATGTCAGGCTCGTTTTCCGCAATGCCATGACTTATAACCCCAAGGGGCAGGATGTTCACATCATGGCTGAAGAACTGTTGCAGGTTTTTGAAGAGAAATGGGCTAGTATCGAGGCTGACTATAATTATAATTGGAAGCATCGGATGTACTCTGACGGGAGGTTGCAGAATCCCTCATCTAGAAAGGCTCCTCCTCGTAATCACTATGGGCCAGGTGCTATATCTTTGTACATGACTCCTGGGCCGCAGGTTGGGGCTTTTGATAAGCCTGAGCAGGCAATTGCACCCATGGCTGTTGATCCTAAAGCTCAACGGCCTCATGGTGGGCGGACGCCTGTCCCGAAGAAACCCAAGGCAAAGGATCCTAATAAAAGGGACATGACTTATGAGGAGAAGCAAAGGCTTAGCAACCACCTTCAGGGCTTGCCTTCCGAGAAGCTTGATGCTATTGTTCAGATCATTAAGAAGAGGAACACTGCACTTTCTCAACATGATGATGAAATCGAGGTGGACATTGACAGTGTTGATGCGGAAACTCTGTGGGAGCTTGATAGGTTTGTCACCAACTACAAAAAGAGCTTGAGCAAGAACAAAAGGAAAGCTGAGCTTGCTCTTCAAGCGAGAACAGCGACAAATCAGAATGTGGCATTGACAGTAAGGATGGAAGACCATCATCTTTTATTGCATAATTGTTTTATTCCATAAGTAACTTTGTTTTTGGATCTTAGTTGGACTGTGTTGAATTGTATTTTTGCCATATTGCAGAACTCAGTTCCACCTGTAGCGAATCAGACTGGAAGTGGTGCAGGTATATAATCTTTATACTAATTCTTGTGTTCTGTATTGCCCCTTCTGGACTTCGTTTTATCATTGAGCTTGTGCCCTGACACTTACTTTTCTTTTCGACCAAAGCTTTCAAAAAGAGTACTGGTCCACCTGCCGATGTCGACGATCGGGTTAATAATAGAAGTAGATCTAGCAGCTCTAGTAGTTCGAGTAGTGATTCTGGATCATCTTCGAGCGGTAATTAATGATTTATTTTTCCTTCTCTGTTGTCATTGTTTGACATATGCTGTTCTGGTGGACTTTGACTAATTTGTGTTATATACGCACTTTTCTTTTCCTTACCTGTTTGTAAATTGTGATGACTAATGACTTTGGTGGACTTTGACTAGTGAGTTTGACCCCACTCAACATTATTACATTTATTGATCAGTTTATGCCTTACAAACTTAAAAATCCTTATTCTTTCAGTTCACACTGTTAAACGATTCCCCTTACATCACTTGATTCTTTTTTGTCTTCTTCCTTTGACGATGTCCCTGACATCACATAAGTTGATTTACCTTCAGTTTGTTTGATCCTTTCGCGGGTTAAGTGTATTATTAATTTCCTTCTCTTCAAACTTTTTCACTATCCCCTTCAGTTTCCCTGTCATCACATAGGTTCATTTCCCGTCAGTTTGTTTGATCCTTTCGCGGGTTAAAGTGTATTATTAATTTCCTTCTCTGTTCAAACTTTTTGACTATCCCTTCAGTTTACTAATCCTCTTTCATCGTACTAACCTGTGTTCCTTTTGTCCAACTGCATGACAACTATCCTCTGTTGTTATTGCATACATCATGCCTAAATGTATCATTATTCCATCACTGTTATTTTACTCTCAACTAGTCTTCTTTCGCGCATTCATTACTCACAGATTCGGACAGCGATAGTTCCTCTGCAGATGGTTCAGATGCGGGGCATTCACCTAGGTCATAAAACAACAAAAATGATGAAGGTAAAGGATCATTTGTTTACTCTTTATTGAACTTCTTCCTGTGTGATCATTTGAAAGTTTTCAGGTGGAATTAGAATCATTTGCTGAGTTCCATTGTTTTCTTGTATTCATTGTTTAATTGTGCAAGCTAGCTCTGCCTTTTGTTTCATTGAAACGTTGCGAGTAATTTCTTTTTCATTTTACTATTGCTATCTTGGAGTGTTGTACGATGTTGCCCATGTGTAAAGTGACTTTTTTGTGAAGTGAAGTTATATTGAATTAAGCTTTTTTGCATTTTATGCACCTGTTAGTGTTGGTAGCATAACCCATTGGGCTGGTCATTACTTGTATGGTGAGATTGAAGATAAAAGAAAAGCATTAGAACAAAGAACCCTGATGTTCGGGCCTATCAGAACACAGTTCTGATATGAGAGCTTTAATGGAATAAAATTTGTTACTTTATGCATTTCTGGATTGCTGGGGCTGCATAGATTGTACTCAACCCAGTTCTAGTCCAAGTTATCTCACAGGGAATTTTTCATGCTTTATCATGTGAGGATATCATCAAGCACTAAAATTCAAGAACTGAAATCATTACTGAATTTAGTAAACTTCGTATGCATTTTTTTGATGAACTTGTTTAACTTAACAAATACAGATGATTGAATAAAATATCTGAAAGCAAATTTTCGAACTTGTGTTGATGCTGTTTAAAGTTTATAATGTCTATATGACAAATTTAGTTCTTACCTTGTGGACTCTGGTATTAACTTCTATGTTGTGGTAGCAGCATGGTCCAGGAGAAAGGGTGCGACAGTTAAAAAAATTATGTAGGAAAACAAAAAATCTCTTCTTTAGGAAATTGTCACTTTGTAACTCTGATTCTTGTATTCTGATGTATTCTTTTATTGGTTTATTATTATCATTTGAGTTACTTTATCTATCTCAATTCATTAAGTTTATGCTCTCCAGAGTTCAAAAAAAGAATTGTAGTTAGAAAGATCTATTTCATAGTGGACACTTAAACCATGTATGCTGTAAGGTGACGAACAATACGTTTCTCTGGTTTCATTTTTGTTGATGACTATTCAGATTAATTAAGGCATATACGAACTTAGTGTTACACTCATCATAGATATGTGCTACTTCGTATTAATTATGTTTCGTTTCTTCTGTGAAGAACATGGTACTCGGTCTTTGTTGTTGAATTTTTCTTTTACTTTGCAATGGAAGTTGAATATAAATGGCCAAATTTCATTATGTATTTTCCGGATTGGTGCAGGAAAATGGGTCTGATGGGTCAAAATGTGTTGGTGGATATTCTGGTGATGCAAAGCCTGCTAATGATAATGGTTTCGTGACCTTTGTGAACGCCGGCTGGATATGAATTACGGGGGACCCTTTCCCATTGATGTTTTAGGCGCATAATGCATTAATAAATAGCTTCGTTGCCATAATTTGAACTTGAAAGTCCTACTATTTGAAGTCACTTGTTTTAAACAGGTTGTGTAGTAGTTTAACCAGTTATGATGGTGATCTTAGAATGTCGCGCCATAACTTTTGTACCATTTAGGATTTTTGCTCATTTGCTAGTGGCAAGAAAGCTCGGGTTGGAACTGGTAAGGTGTCCCAAACACAGGGTGGTTAGTGAACAATTGGGTAGTTTAGTGTGTTCTGTGTTCTGACATTGTATTATGGTAGTATAGTAGTGTACATAGCTTTCATTTAGTGGTTTGTATGTGATATTATCTCTAGTTTTATGTCCTAAAAATGTGGGTTGATGTTATAAGAACTTTTGTTGGGCAGTTCGTGTAAAAAATATTTGTTATTTGAGGTAGAGGGAGTAAAGTAGGATGCACGAACACTGAATTGTTTTCAATTAAGTTGTGATTTTGAGAAACATGCAGAGATTACTAAAGAAAAAGAACAACAAACAATAGCTGACTGAATTGTTTTCTTCAAATAAGTTGTGATTTTAAGAAACCTGCATACATCACTTTTTTTTCTTTTTTTTTTTTTACAAAATCTTTGATTTAAATACCGTGTCCAAAGCCGATGAGAAAGCGCGAGCTGACGCACGGATGAGGTGGTGGTGATAAAATGGATGGTACATTTGTTATATTAAATTGAGGTTTATGAATGTCGAGGCGTCCGCCTAGACCCGTGAATGTCGAGGCGTCCGCCTAGACCCGCGAGCTGACGCACGGATGAGGTGGTGGTGATAAAATGGATGGTACATTTGTTATATTAAATTGAGGTTTATGAATGTCGAGGCGTCCGCCTAGACATGGCCGAAATTTGGGTCGAGCCCGGGTTTGGCCTAGCGAGCTGAATGATTGAGTTACATGGACTCTGAACCGGCATGGACCTAGTGTCTTGTCAGGTCCATGGCCTGGCGGCCCGGCCGTCAGGCCAAGGTCGGCAAAACCAAGGCCCTAGATTGGCCCGGTTGAAATCCAAGTCGGGTCCAGACCCGTTGTCAATGGGTTTGATCGGGTCGGGTCCGTGCCAGGTGATTCGTGGCCACATCTACGTCTGCCTATTTAATGTCTGGCTCGTTCGATAAACCAACACTCATATCTATTTCAGTGTCGATTTTATTTTTAAAATAATCTAAGAATAGAACAAATTAAATTTATTTAAAAAATATTATTTTTTAAATATGTTCCTACATTTACTTTTTTTATTCAGAAAAATAATGTGTTTTATATTATAAAATATAATTTATTTCAATTTAATTCGATTAATCAGACCGCAAAAGAAAAATTCTGTCGGTTGGGTTCAGTTCAGAACGACGTTCGTAAGACGGTGAGGAGAGGCCGAGTGAGCAGGGTATTGAGAAAGGGATGGGAATGGTGGTAATGAGCAGTAAAAATGCTTTCAAACCCTTTATCAATTAAAAATAATGAACGGTTAAAGTCCCGTTTACGGAATAATTCTGTCACGGTTTGATATTATAGATTATCCACACAACATAAACTACATTTGTTATCAAATGGTAGAAAAAGCTGACGGTACTGTCTTGTAACGGAAACTAATTTTCTTAAAATTATATTAGTAATTGGTTAATTATTATTATTTTTTTATTAATAAGTTCTATTGTATTTTTTTTTTATTAATAAGTTCTTTTGTATTATTTTTTTTATTATTATCGGCCTACTGGTTTTGTTTACAGGAAGCAAGCTCAGTGTTCTCAAATGTCAATCAAATTTTATCCGCCCAGGACAAATCTGGCGATTTTCACCGCCTACACTGGACGGCACACAACCCATCCACCAGCATCATCTCTTCCGAAGAATAATCTATGCCGGCGCGTGGGCCTTGCCCTCTTCAGCTCGTTCAGTACCGGTCTGTACTACTCATCCTCTACAGCAGTAAAGCACAAGCACATTCATCCATGGCGGGAGGTACCTCGATTTCGTGAGGGGACGGTGAATTCTGTCCCAGTTGAGGAGGCGCCGGACATCGACGGTGACCGGTCAAGAATCGACGGCAATGAGGACGGCAAAAAGAGGCGGAGAAAACGCCGTCATGGAAACAAAGGAAGAGCGCCGTGGAATAAAGGACGCAAACACAGTGAAGGTAAAGTAATTATTCGTGGAGTAATGTTTCATATGTAAACCTGTAAAAGGAATAATCTCTTTGTTGTTCTGGCTTTTTTGTTAGACACTCGTGAGAAAATCAGACGCAGAACAAAAGAGGCCATGGAAGACCCCAAGGTTCAAGTCATTAGAATTTGTGTTGTTTCTTGTTATCATTCCTGGAAAAGATTTTTATTCTTATGTTTTTATGGAAAAGAAAAACCCATTCTTTCGATTTCTGAGCTCAAGATGAATTCATTGTTCCTCCTTTATGTGTTTGTTTTTATGTCACAACAGATTAGAAAGAAAATGTCTGAATCTGCTCGTACTGTGATGAGGTAATTTACTTCACTTAGTTCCTGTCGTATAAAATTGCCCGCCTTAACATTCTTTGTTTGGCTATTTGTCGAAAGGCTTGAATGTCTTCGAGATACCAGCAGCTACAAATGGTTATTTGTCCAACTATTCGTTGTTGTGCGTCATGAGATAATAACTTTTCCTTGAAATAATGCTAATTCTAAAGAGTCCTCTGTTGCAGTGATCAGACGAAAGCAAAAATAAAAGCAGCTCACGCGATGCGAAGGAGAGAACTGTTAAAATGGAAAAGATCGAGTGAGAGGTTTATGGTATTGTGGGCCCAGAGGATTGCAAAAGCTGCTAAGTTGGGAATGAGTGACGAGAAAGAACTTCATTGGGATAGCTACAACAAACTTAAAGAAGAAATATCCCTCCAGATTTACCATACTGCCCAAGAAGCAGATGTCAAAGCGATTGCTCGTGTACGAGCACAAAGAGCAGCACAAGAGAAATCGGAGAAGATGGCAAGGCTCGCTCAGGAAAGAAGAGAGCACGATGAAAATGTGAAAGCTAGAGTGGGGTCAATTAAAAAGAGGAATCTAATGTCAGAAGAAGAAATAGAGAGGTTACCAGAGTTTCCGGAGGAGAGACTCAAAGAGAGAATAACGAAGGTAAGTCGATCGATTTTGTTATTTGAAAACTGATTTCTTAATGATAACTGAATGGAGCCCTCCACATCCCAAACCAATAGGACCACCTACTTTGAAGAGATGTGGTTGGTAGGGGATATATGGGGAATATGTGTTAATATTGAAATTTTCTCGTTTCGTTAATAAAAAGTTTTATATTTTATGTGCTAAATAATGGGGCATGTTCAAGGGGAGTAGTTAAGGGCAATTTTGTTTCAGTAATCATTTTCAATCTGGTTTCAAGATTGTGACAGTGAGATAATAACAGATAAAACTGGTGAAATATTTATATTAAGAAAAAAAAAAAGGCAGGCGATGTGTGACAACAGAGTGATGCAAGCTCGTCTGTTTGAAAATTGTGCAAGGGCCAAGGGGTCACAACAGAGTCAATCACTGAATGGTGATGAAATGAAATAAGACATTTGAAACAAATAAATGATCTTCAATGCCTTGTAAATAAAGTTTGTCCATATCAATTGAAGTTGGAAACCACTGTCAGCATAAACTAACGCATACTCGTTTCATGGAGTGATGTGTGGTGCATTTGACTGTACAGCATAATGCTTTTCTTGCTTTTTCTAGGATTTTAACCTGAGATCTCCTGAATCTATATTCTTCTTAAATGTACTGTGTTTTGCTGATGGCTTTGTCTCATTTTTGTTGTCAAACAGATTCATAAGAAGCTACAAATAAACAGTCAACATCAACAGCCCTTGCACGAAGCCATTGAAGGTGACAGCTCGTCCGACGAGCTGGAGAGCCTGAAAAAGGAGTTACGAGGACTCTCAGGCGTGCATTAGCAAGCTCAAGGATGTGGTTAAAAACCAGAAGCTCGTGAAGCCGCTCACCGTGCTGAGCTGAACAAGGTGGTTTGGAAGCTGGCCTTAGTCAATGCCATGAAAGAGGTCGGGCTAGACGGCGAGCCGTCTTCTTAGGATAGCTCGTAGTGTAGGCACCTTGTAAGTGCTAACCACCATTGTGCCCCTTTTGCTTAATGAAAACATGTATTACGTTTTTACCTGCTTTTTTGTTTATGCACTCCATCTCTTGAACTGTCCATAGCTCAAAATTAATGTACATGAGCCTCTAAGCTCAGGTCATAATAAAGAAATATTGGGCTCAATAACCCCCGACTTCTTACTTATCCTTTCATAATGCTTTAACGTCCGAGCTAACCACTCTTCAAAGCTTGTATTCAAAGGTAACATACTAATATCGCTCAAAACCCTTAGGAGCTCGACTGTAGTAATCAAGACCGAGCATCTCTCCAGCGCTTGTGAGTTCGGATCTATGCACCGGTCACAATGTAGTAGCTCCCGAGCTTCTGGGAGTCTGGATTTACTCTACGAATTCTTTGTGGCAGGGTTAGGTGGTGTTTGGTGGGTCGTCGGTGATGTCGCGGTGGCGGGTGTCGTCTGCTGCTATGGCAGTGGAGGGGCCGAGGCCGACGCTCCTTTTTCTCCCCTGTTCTCCTGCCTTGTTCTGGTACGGTGTTCAGCTTCGGTCGTTGTTCGGTCGTGGTCGCCGGCTTATGTTGGGAGAGGAGTTGGGCACGGGCCCCTGGTGCTGATTAGGTGGTGTTGCTCCTCGTAGGGGGTTCCGGTTTGTGTAGGGTATACCTGTTATTTGTTTTCCCCTGGTTGGTTCCTTTCTAATTTCGGTTAGAAGACATATCATTAATAGTTAACTCAACTTGTACTTTCAAGACGTATCTTTAATAGTTAACTCAACTTGTACTTTCAGGTGTTTGTTTCAATAAAGCCATCGGATGGTTGGACTTATGGACCCATTCAAAGTTATCTACAAATAGTGTATTGAAATATGTCCTATAATAAATACACTTTCATGTCCAATACATTAAGACATTAAGTGATGGATAACTCCATAAAAAAACCATCCGATGACTCCATAATTTTTGCACCTTGTGAACACTTAAGAATATAAAATCTGAAAATTCAAATTCTAGCACAGGTTGTGATATGAACCTGCACAACTAAGTAAGTATTAGTAAACAGCGTCATAAAATTGGAACAGAACCATCAGCACATTCACATGACACACAAGACGTGCATTATCAAATACCAAACAAGAACAGCAGTAGCACACCGGTCTTTGTTTTGTGAAACCAAAGCCACAACGAAATTCTTACAATAACAAAGAGGCTCATACTCCATTTACATAGTCTCTCCCAGGAACATTCTGGTTCTGGGGAGTATTATTCCCATAGTCTCTCCCAGGAACATTCTGGTTTTGGGGAGGAGGATTCCCATAGTCTCGGGGAGGATTATTCCCATAGCCACCATGATTCTGCCCCTGCCCGTGCGGCTGACCATAGCCGTTGGGATTCTGACCGTAACTGTTCTGATTCGTCCCAGGCCCAGTCCCATATCCTCCATTATGCCCAAAACCACCAGAATTCTGTCCCTGACTATACGCATTATTCTGGGGGTGAGGGGGAGCATTCTGGGATTGATAATGGCTCCCACCACCCACATTTTGAGGCACATACGCATTATTCTGATTCTGGCCCTGACCAGGCCCCATACCAGGAGCCATGCCACCAGGGGGCCCACTGTTAGACCTGTAATGATAGTTAGGTGCGTTGTTGTCAGACGGCGGTGGTCCCCTTGGCGGGTAGTTTACTGGGTTACTGTTTGGAGGCGGATAGTTTCCCTGTCCGGCATTCATACCACCAGCATTGGAAGCATTTGGTGGTGGTGGTGGTGGTGGTGGACGAACATTATTATAGTTCTGTGGGCCACCGCTGTTTAGATTGTCCCTTCTCCTCTCGAAGTTCCGTGACCTGTCAAAGTTGCGGGGCCTATCATTGCGTCTGTTCCTCTCATTGGCCCGACTGTTGTTTCGGATCCACTCCTCGTGGTATTTGGATTCGTATGGCACAGCCTGGCCATTGATGAATGGCTCGCCTGCCAAAAGAAACAATACGAGTTAGAGGAGGAATTATTAATTCGAGTGGACACGAGATCCAAAGGTCCCGGTTCTTGTTTTGAATGCTTGAAATAGAACTTAATAGGTTTCGTGATTAAAATAAAACCTCTAAACTATAATGGGAGTGTATGACTAAAGCTTTTTTAGTTTGTGATAGCAATTCAAGAAATTTATGTAAGCCAAGGTATTTCATACCTCCATAATCTTTATTCTTCACATCCAAGTAAGAATCCGGAAGCACCCAGCGTACACCATCAAGTTCTGCACCAGAAGTTTTTAGTCATATTAAGAAACTCAAAAGGTTTAAATTAGAATCAGAAAGCAATGTGGTAAATAACTCAAGGGTCGGGTACCTTTTAGCTTGAGAGACAACTCTTCCGACACAAGAGCTCCGAAGGCAAAGTAACACCTAGTAGAGACTGAATAAATCTTCATCCTAGCTTCTTCTTCACTGCATATACAAAAACTTGCTGACTAAAATGAAATTCAACAAGGCAGCAATGCAATCATGATATTAGCACTGAAAGACATGACTACTAAATGAGAAACAGAGATTGTCAACTGATGTGTTAAAAATCTCACCAAGAGGAAAAACATTCTTTTGTTTTAAGCTTTTTGAAACCCAACCAATCACTGCCAAACAGAGGATGTATTTCACACTAAATACCCGGCAGGGGACCATTCAATAATACAGCAATCAAGGACTCACAGCGATGTGCACAGTATCAAAAACAACATTTGTCTTTATCATTTCCAATATACAACCCGAGTTGACTTCAAAATATCAAAAAGATTAACAATTTTTGCACAAGATATGTCTCATCTGAAAACTGAAAAACATAAACAAAATGATACTCTTGACCCACTGAATCTCTTATCAAATGCTACCACAGAAACTGTAACCCTAAACTTCATTTCCAGATTTTTTTACCATCTATTAGCAAACAAGAAGAAGAAAATGAAAAGAGAAACATCCCATGTGATATCTTGGTTCAACTTATACACAATAGGAAACTAAAAGAGACTTAAAAACCAAGTCTTTAAAGTTTTAACACCATAAACATAGACGGTCATTAGAAAAAAATGCCAAACCTCCCAACGACCAAAGCAAGAGTCTTGATGTATTTATCAATGATTTCGTCCCGCGTCGCGTTCTCCGGGGGCGGGTCCATGACCACCAGCCAGTGCTCGAAATCGCAACCATCGAGCAAAATTGTCTCCTTCGGGGGACGATTCGACCAGTTCGGGTTCTGATCGTTCAGAGACGACGCTGTCTGTCGAGTCGCGAACCCCCTAGTAGATATTGCCGGAGCAAGAAGGCGAGGATGGAAGGTGCAAGCGGCGGCGCCGGCGAGAGGACGGAGGCGGAGGACAAAAGAGGGCCTGCTGAGGACGCCAGATGAAGAGGCGGCTGTGGTGTAGGATTGAGCGAAGATGGCGGCCAGGGATTTGGTGGTGGGGATGACGGCGCGCTTGAGACATCGAATCGCCATTTTCAGAGAAAAATGATAAACCCTAGCGACTGCGCAGATGAGAACTGAGGGGTTTTCGAGGGTGAGGAAGCACTGTTATATATCCACCTCATCTGTTGAGTAATGAATTTACTGAAATGCCCCTGGCCTCTTTCAAAAATAATACTGTATCAGTTTTAATAAGAAAATAAAACTCGTTTTCTAAACAAAAATTATTTATGGCTAAATGATAAAATTGCATGGATTTAAATAATTTAATCAAAATCATATTGAACAAAGTTGGGCCGATCTGTGCAGATTACTTCAAAGTTAGATTATAATCGTTTATATTTATATTCGTCATGTAAAAAATAAAAAATTATGATCAGCTTGATTCTTTTTTAAAATGTTAACAGCATTATTGGATATATATATATATATATATTTTTTTTTGTTTTGTTTGAATTTTTTTTGTTTAGTTTGGTTAATTTTGAAAAAGTTGGTATGGTTAGTTGTATGACCGTCTCCAGAAATTTGGAGGCTCCAGACAAATTTTACTTTTTCGAATTTGCTGATTTGAACTTGCGTGGTAGGATTATTTGTAGACAGAATAATACACGAAAAAGTCTAATTAAACAAGACTTTTAAATAAATAAATAATAAAAAAAAATAGTTTTTCTTGTTTTTCTAGACATTGAAAAATTACCTTTAATAAATTATAAATTGCGTTTAAGTAGTCACGAAGACAACAAAAAAGAGAAAATAAAAATCATACAACAAAGAATATTTATTCTTTGTACAAAAAAAAAGTATTTATTCTCACACAACTGTTCAGACCGAACATCATAAGAAAACAAATGAAATATTTGGGGCCTCAGATTTCTACACAAAGTATATATTTTGCTATTATTCATTCATTAATTAGCCTCTTCATTTTTGTAATGAACCAAATTTATATTTAATTCTTAGTTCTTTTATTTGTGTAAATAAACAAAACCAAACATAAATACATAAAACATTAAAAAAAATTTGAGGCCCCTAATAATGGGAGGCCCTAGACATGGGCCTAAGGTGCCTCCCCTGGAGCCGGCACTGGTTAGTTGTTAGTGAATATATTAAAATAATATTTAAAATTAAATGATTAAAGTTGATTTGATGTAAAGTAGAAAAGAGAAGATTTGATGTGATAGTTAGTTAAAATTATGTGAGCGGATGAATAGTAGTTAAGGTGGTGTGGTGGGTAAGAATGATTGATTTGATATTATTTAATTATATTGATGATATTGATGATTGTAGGGTTGAGTTCATATTGAATAGTCAAAAATCACAATTAGATAACATTAGCATACTTTAAGAGTGTGTTTGGTCTAATATTGTTTATCAGGAGTTTAGTGATAATATTATACAACCATATTCTTATAATGTGTCATTTTAGTAAGCTAGAAACATAATCAGCAATGAGGAATAACTATAAATGTCTACTTGACATTTTATGAATTAGTACTTCCAACTAGAAGTTAATTTGTCCCCTTTGAAAAATAGCGGATTGAAGATAAATTAGCGGATTGAAGATAAATTACCAACTAAATAATATTAAATGTTTTAGTATATTATTATTAAAAAAATGCACCCTAGATAATAAAATGTCCTTATTGGTCATTTTGCAATATAAAACAGAACTATTTACCAAACACTTATTTAAAAACCGCTAATGTAATCCGCTAGTCAAATCAGCTAATATAATCTGCTATTCGCTATCCGCTATCCACTATCTGCTATCCGCCAAACAAGGTCAATATAGTTTGACTTGAATTTGGATCATTCAACTATATAGGCATTCAACTATTAGAGTTCCAAATGATCTTCCAAATAATTCAATAGTCCTTAAGTGAGCATAAACTCTTTTTTGTTCTCATTTAAACTTCATATATAAACCTTTTGCCTAGATTTTAATGGTTTAATAATCAGAAATCAATCATTTGTCGAATAATTACATGTATATAAAATCAAAATACATACATTCTCGAAAATACAAACAATTACCAACCATATGTATATCTTTCGTATATTCTATACTTTGGGACGATCAAATAATTACATGTGTACAGAATCACAATACAAACATTCTCCAAAATACAAAAGTAACTGACAGAATGGATTTGTTGTTCGCCCAATGACGATTCATTCTATCTAAATGCAAAACAACATAATATGAAACTTGTTTAATCTAACATGATTCCCATTCATAAAGGGTAAAAAGTGTAATATCATCCAAAGTCAAGTTTTTAGTATATAACACTAACATTATGAACACTAACGGCCGACGATCTCGACCTTGACCGGGAAGATGGTTGGGCGGCGAAAACAACTCAGTCCCAGCGGGAGCTTGTGTTCCACATCCAGATCTCCCATAAGCCTTGGAATAGACGGAGAAATACCACAATCCCGACTCGACGAACCCCAACTTCGGCAAGTGGGCGACGAGTCTAAAGATGAAGGAGGAGCAAGGATTTTTGCGAGAGGACGAAGATTTTTAGGGATTGGCTAATTTGGGGTTTTCTAGATTCCAAATCATGCCAAACATTCAACATAAGCGAATTGATTATCTGGCTAGATGATTGGCTTGGGTGAACGATACTTTTGTGCATATGAGTGAACAATATAGTATTAAATTGATTGTAGATAAGGAATTGAATAACAAACTTGGTTATACCGAGTCTAATTAAGCCAAAAGAATGATTACAATAATAAATTATCTATAAAATTTCTTTAAAGTCCATGACTTCTGCCACATCATTTTCGGTTATCATTTTTAGGTATGAGCAAAATCGAGCTGAAATTGAAAAACTGAGTGGACCAATGTATTCGGTGCGCTCAGTTTGTTTTCTGAAGAGTTCAACTTGGGGTGCGGTTAAAAATTAAAAAATGCACAAAAAACTAGGTGCAGTTCAGTTTTGTATTTGAAGGGTGCGGTTTTACACCACATTGAATAGCTTAAAGTGTCATATTATTATATTTAGTATAAATATAGACTACAGTTACATTTCACCATGTTTTAATTATTATTATTATTATTTTTATATTGGGTTAATAACAATTAACAACATTACAATTAAAAGTAAAAGCTTAAAGAACATCATATTAATTTGAATTTCTATGCCCTAGTTTTTTAGAAGACCATATTGACCCAAAAAAAAAAAAAAAAAAGATCCCATCACTGTTGAGTGTTAACATGCCATTTCCATCTCCCTCAAGACTGTTTTAGTTCTGTCCCAAACATACCCACTAAAATCTTTATATACATTCTAAAAGAAACAAACATTCTTCTCTCTTCTTCCCCAAGGGACCCAGCTCAATTAGTCCGGTCGTATATAGACGAGAAAGACATGGTGGCATACGTCATGTTTGTGCTTTGAGAAGACAAGGATTTTGTTCCCGACGTGGATGATGGGGCATTGCTCGAGGCCTTGAGAGTCATTAGCTCTTCGAGTAGGCCTGGCCTTGACAGCTCCACATCATCCACACACGTCTCGCCTTTGAGCATTTTGGCGACTGCAGACATGGTGGGCCGGTTCTTGGGCTTATCTTGGGTGCATAACAGCCCGATCTTCACGAACCTGCAAGCTTCGTCGGTGTTGAAATCCCCATTGAGTGATCTATCGATCAAGTCGATTGGCGTATTTTTCTCGTACAATAGCCATGCCTGGAAAATAAGGTTGATGAGGCCCTAAAGAGGGGAACTGAAGTTGAGGTATTATTTAACAACAAATGTTAACAAGATTACGTATTATTAATCCTAGAGAAAGAGAGAGAGAAAGAGAGAGAGAGAGAGAGAGAGAGAGAGAGAGAGAGAGAGAGAGAGAGAGAGAGAGAGAGAGAGAGAGAGAGAGAAGCATAATTCTCCTTCAAAAGATTTACGTATCAAATTTCAAGAGTTTCATACCATTTCGAGAAGATTTTGTTCTTCGACTGGCAATCTTTTGCTTCTGTTGCACCTTCCACTGATAATTTCTAGCAGCAGAACCCCAAAGCTGTATATATCTGCTTTCCTTGTAAGCTTGCCTCTAATTGCATACTCAGGAGCCAAATAACCACTGTAAAAGTATAATACAATATGTAAGAAGAAAATCAAATAAAAGTCGACAAAATAAAGAGATCCAACAGCTTTCATCCGCAAATATCTTTCGGTCACCATCATTGTAAATATGTGTGTGCAGTACTTTTTCAAAATTTTCAAACTAAATAGACGAAAAAACATCCGATTTAGTTTTCTTAACCGATGTTCTCTTAGCACACCACGAACAATCACAATAAAATATGCAGGTACCCCTATCAACTTCTCAAAATTTAATTTAAATCATTCATCTTTTGCCAAAATTCACCAAAATATCAATTGCACTACCACATAAGATAGAGCAGAAGTTTCACCGACTCACAAGGTCCCGGCAACACGCGTGCTAATATGAGTCATAGTCGCAGGAAAAAGCTTTGCCAGACCAAAGTCTGCAATTTTCGGCGTGAAATCCCGGTCAAGAAGAATATTGCTCGCCTTTATATCTCTATGAACAATATGTGGCTGAATTTCATCGTGAAGGAAAGCAAGCCCTTGTGCAACGCCTATGCAAATTTTAGTCCGCATTTTCCAGCTAAAGTGCAAATCACTGTGGCGTCCTACATCGCAATTTTTAATCAGTTTCCTTCTAAACACACAAAAAGAACTTAGAGTAAAATAATGTTTACTCTTGTGGTAAGAGCTTTACTTAGAAGAGTTTGGGCGAGGCTATTATTTTCGAGATAGCCGTAAACCAGTATTCTTTGGCCCCTCTCTGTGCAGCAACCGTACAACTTGACCAAGTTTTCGTGTTCGACTCCCGATATTGCAACTATCTCGTTTAGGAACTCACGCACGCCTTGCTCCGACTGAGCAGATAGAACCTTAATGGCTGTTAACGTGCCGTCATTTAGCTTTCCCTACAGGTTTAAGGGCGACTTAATAACAAAACCAAAAAGAAAGAAAGAAAGAAAGAAAAACAGGTTATGATGAAGCAAAGAAGTTGACAATCACCTTGTATACAGAACCGAATCCACCTTCACCAACCTTATTCGCCTGATTGAAATTTTCAGTTGCGGTTTGTAGTTCTTTATAACTGTACAATTTAGCGTTCGGAAGATTCGAAATTTCTGCATTATTTCAGAGTACTATTAGATATTTTCTAGACAATGGTTGACAAATTGGATCAATTAGTCCAGTATTTTTTATTTTTTATTTTAAATAAATTTAGAGATATACCCCTATTGATATCTTCTGTTTGGGAAGAATCATTCTGGCCGAAACAAGCAGTGAACCAAGTCATGGCACCAATCTCTGTTTGTCTATCAAAACTTCAAATTTCACACGCATTTTCCCCCCTGTGAAATAAAATACATAGAGAAACCCATGCCAATATATGTCACAAGCTTTATATATTGAAAGAAACTGGGGAGAAAACGGGTGCGGGCCCACTAACATGAAGAGCACCATAATCGGGGAAAACCCATATGAAGCCCAAGTGGGGTTCCATCCCAAAACCAATTGGTGAAAGGAGAAGTATCCCATTAGACTTATAAGGTGGGTCTATTCCATGTATGAACGATGTGAGACAACTCACGAGTGATATTCTAACACATATAAACAAGAAAAGTCCAAAGGATCAGTGCAAATTATGGGTAAAAATCAAGAAAAAGTTTAGCCCCAATTGAAGTGAAGTCATGGTGAAGAAGAAAATCAGAAGATGCAACAACTAAAACTACAGAATAAAAACGAATAAATTCCGAACCTGCAGTCCAAATTTCCAGATTTACATCACACAATGAACATTCATGAAAATACAGGAAACCCTTTAGGCTCAAATTAGGTAGAAAGATTGAAAGCTAAATAAAGTAAACTAATAAGGGGAATCTCAAACCTAACTGCAGCAAATCAAGAAAACTAGTAAATATGAGTCTTATATGAATAGTGACATTTTCAGATGATGATTGTAGCTCTACTGTTCACCTTCACCCACGATAGTGTTGAACTTTTCAGATCAATCCCAATCTATTTAAATTAAAAAAATAATAAAAAAATTAAAAAAAAAAAAAACCTTAATTCCTACAAAACGATGAAACAAAACATGCGATCTGAACCTAATAGATCAAGAATTGTTCAACCCAGATTTAGGCAGCTAAAATTCTGTAGCAGTAGATGAAAGTTTTCAACTTTCGCCATGTCCGAAGCTCTAAAGGGCTGTCAAAGATACATCTCCATAAGAAAAACAAATGGAATCGTTACACTTCAAAGAAAATTCTTGAAGGACATAAGACGATGGGATTTACCTTATGGGGCTCAGTACAGAGAAAATATCTTCAATCGCGTTCGTGGAAATTTATGAGGGAAACGCTGAATTTTTACAGCTCTGAAAAAATGGAGATGCATATGAAGTCTCAGTTCTGTTTTGGTCTACATGAGTACATGTGGCCTGTCGGTACGTAATAGATAAATTCTCAAACAGATAGGCATATCTCTAAAAATATGTAAATTAGTTAAACAAAATGGACCATCGCTCCCTTATCCACGGTGGACATGTTAATATGCCTATCGTTTATATGTCATACATACATTAGTGATGTTAATATGCTCACAAAAATACATCACCAATATGCATGATACATAAGCGGTGGACATATTAACATGTGTTTACCGTGAATAGGAGACGTTACTCGTTGTTGGGACGTGTTTCTGGTTTAGTTAATCTTTTTATATTTTTCCACGGTCAACTCAATAAATGTCAACGTTTCTATTGGATTAAAGATAATAAAAAGGTCATTTGAGTTCATATTGGTTAAAAATTGTACTAGTATGTACCCCGTGCGATGCACGAGACAGAAATATTAAATAAGTTATTTTCACATACTTTGTCCGTTTAAGTATATATAGTAATAGTATTATCATCTATTTTTCATCTCTTTTAATCTGCATTAAGTATAATAAACAATAAGGTTATAATATAATTTGCACCTCTTTAAAAAAAACGTTATTTTTTTTAGTCAAAATATTAAAATAATTAATATATTATTTCACTAAGATAGAATATATATTTATTCGTTGATATAAGAGAGAATAATAATTTTACTTATTTTTGTTCACCATAATACTTAATTATTATTTTATTATACACTTTTTGTCATATAATGACATTATTATTTATAAAATTATAGAAGTTGTACGTCTTCTTTTTATTTTTATTTTATGTAATGAAAAATATTTAATGCACGTTTGTATTATTTATTTATGTAATCGATGTAAAATATGTAAATAAATTTAATATTAAATAATGTATAAATATTTTACAAAATATACACATGCTTTTCTAGAATTTAATTTTGTATACTAATTAAACAATTTTGATTTAGAAAATGCCAAAAACTCGATCACTCTATGATCAAGAATTTTCTAATTCGCATTATAAGGATTTACGGTTTATTTATCATACTCAGCAATGAAAATAAATTTTACAATAATTTAATTATAGAAATAAATCAAAATAAAAAATAAAAAAAATATAATCATGAGTGTCAACAATATACAAATAAATTCTAAACAATAGTTAATATGTTTCAATTTTAACTTGTTACCATTAGTAAAACAATAATGTATCTGGTCATTATCGCTTAAATGATAAATTATATTGATTTGAAAAATGATTTATTTTTTATATTTAACAAAATAAAGCTTAAGAAACAAATATATTGACAAAGATTAATTCACCAATTTGATTTTGTCTGATTACTTGGAAATTCTACCTAATATGTTACGAATTTCCATAAATATTTTTGGATAAAAAGTGAATATTTGTAAAAAAAAAAAAAAACTAATGTTATGGTTAAAACTTAAAATATAGTTTAATGTTATCTTGACCAAAATATTATCAACATGGATCACAAAAATCAATCTTGTAATTTATTATAACGACTATCAATGAAATTACTGCATATATTAATAAATTTAATTAAGTAATTATTTGATCATATGTTATTTGATCTTATTTGAAAATATGTAAATAGAAGCAACTAATCCATATAATTAAAAATTTCCAAAAATAATATGCATTAATGTTTCCTAGATTTTTGCTACTATTTTTAGTAAATGGTAATTCTTTCTATATATATATATATAGATAAGAAAATCAATCGTTTATTCAATAAATTATAATCTCTCTTTTACATAATGTTTACTTGATCATTTTATTAAATATCTTTAAATTTAACCACCATTCACATTGCTTAATCCATTTAAAAACATATATTAGTATCACCCATTTTCTAATATTTTAACATTGTTTTAAATTTTTAAAAGCTAATACATTCAAATACATATATAAGTGGGTTCACTTTCCACCAACTTACTATTAATTTAAATTTTCTAAATGTTTTACCAAGATAAAAATGGCGTTCAATACATAAAATGACAGGTGTGAGCTCCATTATTTTTTTCATTTAAATACAATGCCACATTGGTTTGAATGGTATAGGCATCATTTAAACGGCATGGTATTTAAACCAACGTGGATGCCTTAAGAGTATTTAAATTGAAATGCAATTTAAAAATCTTATGGTTTATTTTAGATATATAATTATGTTTAGGCTCAATGTTAAAAAGAGAATAGTTAAACACCTTTTAAATAAATTAATTAAAAGTTTATAAATATTATCTCCTTATATTTTCAAGTAATGAGCATTTTACTAGGCCTAGGACCAGTCCGAGGTGTGCATTTTAATATGATTTTTGGGATAATGGTACCAGATCGACTAGACTAGGAAGCAACCGAATCGAAGTGGGCATGCCGAAAACTTGTTCGCTAATTATTTTTGCTATCCGCAAGTGTACGGCGTAGCTATAGGTAGTGGCGAGCAAAGTCGTATTCCACAGAGATTGTAGTTCAATTAATTAAGTACTAAAATAATGACGATTAAATATTATTTAGACTAACGAATGAGATGATGATTTTAAACTATGAAATTAAACTAAAAACTAATTTACCTAGAACAATAAAAATAAACCAAGATATAAAGATAGATTCTAGGTTCTGCTTTCCTCGGAATTAATTCATGAAACGTTTATATTCATACAAACCTTATTTAATTTTACCAATCGTAGAGATAATCACTAAATTGATTTCAACTTTTCTCTCGAACAAGCAAATCGTAGATATTAATTGTTATCTATCTCATCTTGGTCTCAAGATGAACAACTAACGCCCATAAGTTCCTAGGATTTTCGTTCTCTCGTAAGATTCTATCAACCTCTCGGTCTGTTTAGTCTCCTACGTTATAAATTTCCCAATTCTAGCAATCAATTATCTCCTCTC